TGTGTGGAGAAAGCGTCGGCAACTTCGAGATCAGCAGAGGAGCCAAGCCCATCAAAAAAACAGGAGAATGCTGAAGGCTTGCGATGACAGCCATCATTTTCTTAAGGGAGAGACATTCAAGGATTTGTCGATGAGGGTGGTGGCTGGGCTTTCACGGTTGGCGGTGTTCAAGTCTACAAGACAGCCACCTTCAATTTAAAACTGTTCAATCTATTTTAAAGTTCTTAAAATTTTGGGAATTGTAGAGCTTTGCGAAAGGTATGAGATTTATAAAAATTCTAAAGTCCCATTAGAAAACGGACAGGATGGCAAAAAAAAAAATAAGCCAGGCCACGAAGGCCGGCTCAACAGGTCCCTGTGGCACAGGACAGATAACCTGTAGACTGGTCCAAGGCTGCAGGGGTGAAAATGACCTGCTTTCAAAAGGCAAGGGGTTTAAGGGGGAGGGTAAGGTGGGGGGGGAAAGGCCTCTCCCCCTCCCCACTTCAAGTTTTGCGCGGTAGGGCTGCTTTAATTTAGACCCAAGGACATCTCTCAACTTGGAGAACAATTCAGCCCTCAACAGCGGCCTCAAATCTGCTATTGGCTTTGCAGTGGCACGCAAAAGATGCTTGTAATAGCTAGTATAATAGATAAAAATTTCATCCAAAAAAAATAAAGATAAATGAAAGATTCTTACCACCCCCCCCAAAAAACACAACATTCTGATATTTCAAGGTGTAACCCATAACTTGTGCTGTTTAATGACCTGACCGAATACTCAAGTGGAAGACCTACGGTCCAAAAGACTGAAACTGAGAATCTTCACCCCAAAATGAAAACAAAACGAGTAACTTGAGGTTTATGGCATATAGTTTAGGTAAACACACATACAAGAGGAAGGGGAAGGAAGGGAAATGGAGGTGTTGGAAGCAAAGCTGAGTGACAGAACACATTCAGTCGGGGTAGATGTTTATACAGAGTGTAGTGGAACATCAGGAAAAGCTCCAATGGATTCGTGTGCACACGTCGCTGGAGGCCACGAGATCCCTCCATGGCCGATCCAAAAACAGGGAGCTAAGGAGAGCCATTCTTGTCATTCAAGTTTCATAAGTTCCACGTCAAAGATGAGAGTAGCGTGTGGGTGGGGATTGGATGCCTGGCGCTGCCCAGTAGCGCCATACGCATAGTCTGGAGATATAGTCAGTTTGGCTCTCTGACCCACACTCATCTGGGCAACCCCTTCTTCCCAGCCTCGGATCACTTCCTGCTTGCCTAGCATAAACTTAAAGGGCTTGTTTCTGTCCCGGGAGGAATCAAATTTCTTTCCATCTTCAAGCATCCCGGTGTAGTGCACCACGCAGGTCTGGCCGCGCTTCGGGAAGGTACGCCCGTCTCCAGGGGACATGGTCTCCACCTGCACTCCCATGGCGGCGGCGGGCACTGGGCGGGCTTAGGTTCCTTTTTGAATGTTTTTGTCCTGAATTTGCTTTTTTCATATTTATGTTTTCATACTTAATATCTCTTATTTTGGCAGGTACCGCTTAAATCTGAGTCAAGATGAAATCAAACAAGAAGTAGAGGAGTATCTTCCTTCATTTTCTAAATGGGCTGGAGATTTCATGCATAAGAATACTTCATCTGACTTCCCTCAGATGCAGCTGTCTTTGTAAGAAACACGTTTTGTTTATATAGTGTTCATATTTTTTATACCAGGACTATATTCCATATGTCGAATTAAAGCCTTTTAAAGGTTGAGCTATTACAATTAGCCTTTTTGCTCGCTTATTTTATAAATTATGGTCCTGAGTATCTTTCTATGGCACAAAAGAATCTAATGAATAGAAAATTTTCTTTTTTTTTTCTTGAGACAGAGTCTCGTTTTGTTGCCTAGGCTAGAGTGAGTGCCATGGCGTCAGCCTAGCTCACAGCAACCTCAAACTCCAATACGTGTGACCACATTCACCTCAATTTGGTGCTTACATGAGTGGCCTATATGCTTCTAATTCAGTCGCTCTTTCAAGTGTCTAGATATTGCCGAAATCATTCTCCTTTATTCCCTTTGAGATACAGGATCGCGAGAAGGAAAAGTACAGTAGAAAGATAGCTATTTCCGATTTATATGAATTATCATCTGATAGGGTCACACATATAGGTCTATGCCAAAGTATTTCCTGGTATTCTTGTTATTATAGTAATCATTACATCTTGTCCATTTGTCAGCCATATTCGTACAGTTTCTCTTGCCAATATATTGAGTCCGTCCATAAAAACATGCTGATAGTGGATGTTTGCGCCATACTCTGTTTCTCTCACAGTCTGTTCCACTAGTTATCAGTGAATGCATGTCTCAATTAATAATTCAGCCTTGGAAAAGAAACATTCTTTATCAATTTTTTATATACATAATTCTCCATAATCAAACACCCATTCTTTGCAATCAAAGAGTATGTAGGAATAACTACCGTCCTACTTGTCACCCACCATAGCGGGCGAATACTCTGAACACAGGTGTTATTGTATTTCGGCGACATATTAGATCCTGTTTGTTGAATCTCTCGAATTTCCCACTCTTTTAGTCGATACTTGTGCTGACACATCAAGTACTACATTATTTGACAAAAGCAGAGCAACATTTTAGCTACTAGACGTTCTAATCCGTCGGCCCTAAGAGAGTGAATTGCTTGAAAAAAAGCTTATAGATCTTCTTAGTGCATGAACCGTTAGGAGGCGTTCGACACGTATCTAGTAAGGGACCTAGTCAGCTTCCTGAGGGAGAAGCAGTGTGGCGAGAGACTATTAGAGCGTTATGAGATCTAATGCGCGTTTCAAGAGCAGATTTTGTCTTTTGCTCTGGCAGACAACGTACCGGAGACTCATCTCGAGAGGGCGTAACACCACTCGGTGCTACTCTTAGGAGTCTCGGTAAGCTGGAGGGTAAGTGGAAAC